GATTCCAGGGACCTAAGAATAGGCTCCACTTATCACAGACAGCAAGGACATACTGGACACTGAGGACTGGAAAGGTGTGATATTCTCCTTGTTACTCTTACACCCCACACCCTGTTGGTGAATGGAGGTGCAGCCATCCCTCACTCCCACCCACTTTCTGGGCCAGCAGGAATTTCATCCCAGTCTGTGGGCGCTGACGGAGCCTAAGTGCCCTGCCCCATCATGCCCAGATATATATTTGTTTTAGTTTGTTTGTTTTTGTCTTTTTAGAATAATAATTATAATTATTTTTATTTCATCCTTATTACTATTATTCTTTCTTCTTCTCTTCCTAGGTTCTAGTTTTCAGCTTTTACTCTCTTCCCTCTTCCTAGTTCCCATTTTTTTCTTTCTTGTGGTTCTCCCCATTCCTTATTTTTCTTTTTGCATTTTTCCCATTTTTTTAAATTATTTTCCTACTCTACCTCTTTTCTCTTATTCCTCTCTCCCCAGATATTGCAGGTCCCTCCCTTTTTCTATTCATATTTCTTTTGCTTTTTAAAGTATTTCTTTATATTTCTTTAAATATCTTCTCTCATTTATTGCATCCCCCCCCTTTTCTTCTTTTTGGTGATTGTTCCTGTGTGTTTATACAGTGTGTGTTTATATGGTGTGTATTTATATGGTGTGCATTTTTTTGTCCTCTTACTTGTACTTTTTTGATGGCTTTTCAATTGCTGTTTTTGTCTAACTGAGTAGGAAATAGCAACTGCATCCATATGATCCAATCACACCCACACCTACTGCAGCTTCACTTACTGAGGGAGAGCCACCACTTCCTTCTGCACCAACTGGCCAATGATACACAACCACCAATTAAAGCCTGACTCATGTTTAACTGCTCTTCACAGTTAACAGAGAACTTTGCAGTTACTCTTATTCTCTATCACATCCACCTGGAGACAGGTGGTGAATGCATAAGTGCTGCCAGCTAGTGAACAGAGGAGTACCCTGCTTACTCAGATACATCCAAAAAAAAGAAAAGAAAATCTTAGGCAAATCACTCCAACATACAATCATCAATTAAATATAAACACAATAAAGTCACAATGTCTTAGAGACAACAGACCATCATAGTCCACACAAAGAAGCAAGACAAAGCAGGAGAAACAAGGGACCGGGATACATACCCAGAACACCTCCCTGAAGAGGAAGCAGCATTGGAAATCTCTGATAAGGAATTAAAAAGAATTATATTGAGGTACCTCCAATGAATTGAGAAACACATCAAGGAAAACAGTGACAAAATGGAGGAAAACACAGATAAAACCCTAGAACACTTTTGGAAGGCAATATAAGGACAAAATAGCAAAATAAGTAAAAAATTAGAAATGATACAAAATCTACAAATAGAAGTCCAGAATATTAATACTAAATTTCCAGAAATAGATAACACATTGAAAGGGCAAAGGAGTAGAATCAAATCAATGGAAGACGGAATTAATGAGATTCATGATAAATACCTCATTACTTCTTTGGAAAGGTTTCATTCAGAAAAAAAGATCAAAACAAAATGAAGAAAGCTTAAGATTCATGTGGGACACCTTTAAAAGGAATAACCTACGTGTAATTGGAATTCTAGAACAGGAAGAGGAAAATAAAACCACAGAGAAAATTGTCCAAGATTTGTTGGAAGAGAATTTCCCTGATATGATGAAAAATGAGAATATATCCATTCAGGAAGTCCAACAAACCCCAAACAGGATAAACCCCAAAAGAAAATCACCAAGATATATCATCATGAAACTCACCAAAACCAAAGACAAAGAAAGAATCCTGAAATAGCACAGGAAAAATGGAAAGTTACCTACAAAGGGCAACCAATAAGACTAAGCTTATTTCTCAGCAGAAACCATGTAGGTAAGAAGGAAATGGGTTGGTATATGTAAAATCCTGAAAGAGAAAAATTTCCCAACCAAGAATTATATACCCAGAAAAACTGTCCCTCAAATATGATGGTCAAATTAGGAGATTTCCAGATAAGCAGAAATTAAGGGAATTTATTAAAACCAGACGAACCTTACAAGAGATGCTAAAGGAAGTCCTTTGGACAGAGAACCAACAACAGCAAACAACAGCTGACCATTAACACACATTATGACATAACCCAGAACCCAGAAACCAATCAAGTTATGGAAGTATCCAAAGTAAATAAGCCTACAAAATTGTAAACAGACTGAATGACTGCCTCTTGGACTATGTACAGGTTCCTCATGAGCACAATTAAGTGTTTTAGAATTCGCATTCTTCACAATGTCATACACATACATATATACATGTTGTTGTTGTTATGTGCCGTCAAGTCGAACCTGACTCATAGCGACCCCTCCTTGGGTTTCCGAGGCAGTACACTACGGAAGTAGATTGCCCTATCTTCCTTCCGAGGAGTAGCTGGTGCCTTTGAACCGCCAGCCTTCTGGTTAGCAGTCAAGTGCCTTAGGCACTATGCTACCAGAGCTCCCCACACACACACACATATATGTATATATATAGAGAGAGACAGACAGACAGACAGAGACAGAAAGAGAAATTTATCTCAAGGAAATGGTTCACACAACTGTAGAAGCTACTAAGTTCTAAGTTGGTGGGTCAAATGTCAAGTTGGAGGCTTCCCCTGAATTAGGCAGCTGCAGGGGCTGATGAACCCACTATCAGCAGGCAGTATAGCAGGCTCCTGGCTTTGGAGGCTGATGAATCTAAGATTGGCAGGTAAAATGGCATATTGTTGGTTTATAGCCTGCAAAGACAATAATCTCAAGATCGGCAGGCAATATGGCAGACCACTGGTTCAAGTACAGGAGCTGGAGATGATAATGAGCTAGATGTAGGATCAAGATCCAGCAGAAAGCTAGAGAATTTTCCCAGGACATCCATATATATATATTTGAAGCAAGCCATACCCTTGAGGGAACTCCCTTTCGATTGATTGGCTGCTCATAGCACATCTCATCATGAAAATGATTTCATAATATCAGATCTCAGGGGGGATGATTACACCATGACTGGTAAACCACTTAGAATCATGGCCCAGCCAAGTTGATACATAGCCTTAACTATCACATCCACATTGTCAAATGCCTTTGCATAGTCAATAAACACAGGTAAACATCTTTCTGGTATTCTTTGCTTTCAGCAAGATCCATCTGGCATCAGCAGTAATATCCCTTGTTCCATGAATTCTTCTGAATCTGGCCTGAATTTCTGGGAGTTCCCTGTCAATATAGTGCAGCAACCATTTTTGAATTATTTTCAGCTACATTTTACTTGTGTGTGGTATCAATGATATTGTTTGATAATTTCTGCATTCTGTTGGATCACCTTTCTTTGGAATGGGCACAAATATGGATCTCTTCCAGTCAGTTGGCCAGGTAGCTGTCTTCTTTATTTCTTGGCATAAACAAGTGTTCTAGATATCTTTATTACTTATGTTGTTGTTGTTGTTGTTGTTAAGTGCCGTCGAGTCGTTTCCGACTCATAGCGACCCCATGCACAGCAGAACGAAACACTGCCCTATCCCGCGCCAGCCCCACAATCCCTGCTATACT